TGTTAGATAGTTCCCTATGGTATTTGATGTACTCCCTGTTGTTAGATACTTCATCTTCATGCAGAAGAACCGTCAGAAGATCATGGAGGAGCACGGCCTTCAAAGCAAAGACATTGGTGACATCGCGAAGAAGATGGGCGAAGCTTGGAAGGCTGTACGAGTTGACGATGCCTCGGTGTTTGTCAATGCTTCTTGTTGTCAGATGAGTGATACGGAGAAGGCTCCTTATACCAAGCTGGCTGATGAGGACAAGAAGCGTTATGAACGCGAGAAAGCGGCTGCTGGTGTATAAAGCCGTCCTGCGGTGTGCATGCTGAGTTTCGTAACTTGCCTAGATGATAACGTAGCAAGAGTGGAGTAACCCATAGTGGTTCTCATCACTTCACATCTCTAATTCGAAGGCAGTTATTGATTCCTTGTGTTGTTTAGTTTTTTAATGTTTTCACTTTCTGGGTAGTGCTAGGTTCTTTTCTGAACTAATGGCAGCCACGAAAAAGGCTTCCCCTAAGAAGGCCACACCGACTAAGGTGAAGAAAGCTTCCAAGACTAAGAAGGATGATGGCAAACCAAAGGTCAAGAGAGCACTGAGCGCGTGAGTTGTGATTTGATTCTGATTCGTTTTATTGGCGTTTATTGAGGTACTTCTTCTTTATGCAAAAGAACCGTGAAAGAATAATGAAGGAGAATGGTCTCCAGAGTAGGGATATTGGCGAGCTCGGGAGGAAGATGGGAGAAGCTTGGAAAGGGGTAAGCGCATAAGTGCACATTTATGTTGATGTTAATTTGTTCAGATGAAAGACAATGATAAAACTCCATATGAGAAGTTGGCCGCTGAGGACAAGAAACGTTATGAGCGTGAAAAGAAGGCCGTTGGCCTATAATTTTGTCAAGTACTTGATTGAAGCAAATTGAACGTAGACTGCCTTGGTCGATTGTGCACATCTTGGCCTAGCGCCTGAAATGTGATTAATGAGAACTTAGAGCCCCCTCATGTTTCGTGTTTCGCGTGGGGGGTAGAGTATTAGGGAGCATGCATCAGGGTTGATAGTAAACGTTCTACTTCATCTTGTTGTATTTGTTGACTTTAGAGACAATGGAGACTTTTGATGTGAGCTTTACTCTTCGAGTGACTTCACGATACGCATGCGCAATCTACGCGGATGGAACAGGTTTTTGCTCGACCGTTGATGTTCGAGGAGAGCCTATAGGCTCGGGTGGACTCTGGTCGTACATACGGCTCTGTCTTTGGTCATAGCTGGTTCTCCTACCGTACTTGCTCTACAACTTCCTCAACAATTGATAAACTGTGTTGTAAGAAGAAGCTGCGTTTCACGAGACGCCAGTGAGCTCATGAATGGTTTGTGTAAATTAACTCTTGTCTTTGGTCGCTGTATTTTCATGTTTCTGTGAATGCAAAGTCAGTGTTGCAGGAACTGGTGTTCCGTGTAACTGTTGCGTCCGTAGACATATCTACTCTGGTTCGTTATCGGGTATCATCCCATGATTGGAAGGAGGAGGACCATACACGTGAGCATTTACACGTGAACCACACTCTCGTCACGTACTATCTTTTTCGCTCGGAAACTGAACAGTAGGGCAAGAAAGGTGACTGATAGTGACCGAATGGAGTCGATTTACATATGGCGAATAACCGATATAATGCAGCTAAGAAACTGGCCGAAAGGAGCGGGCCAATCCTAGTATCACGGATTTCTCAGGGCAATGCGCCACTGTTGTGGTACTCGGAAAAAGGACGCACACAACCGTTCGGGGTCGGCTGTAAGATCCACGACCGTTCGTATTTGTATGGAAACTGCAGGAGCACATGCACGTATACGAGCAAAGGAGCTGGCTGTGCCTGTAGAGTCCTCAGAGGAGACAGAGCCTTCTGGCATAAGTCACGAAAGGAACTGCACGCAGACACACAGCGCGTCATGCTCATGCGTGTATAGGTGGTTTTCTCTGTGCGCAGCAGACGATCCATGAGCATGATAATCACATCTTCTGGTTAGCGTCATTTTCTCCCCTTGTGGTTCCCCTCGTCGCCTCAGCTACTGATCTCATATGGCAGTTGATGTAGACGGGTCTCAGCGTGAGTCCTCCTCCCCATGAAGTGGGTGTAGAATGCCTCTTTGTATTCAGCCGTTAAGCGCAAGCCTGAGGATGAAGAATGCGACGAATGACAGGAGCCCGATGAGAAGATCTTGCTGTCCACCTCGGATAAGCCTCTGGAAGAGCACAGAGTAGGTCGAAATGAAATCTCTATTCTCACCAATTTTTATTAGGAATCCGGCGGTGGTGCTGTGAAGTCTTTCATTGCCTCGTTCTTGGTCATGCTAGTCTCGATTCCGGCCCTTGTAAGTCAGTCATCTCTATCTGTCACACTCGATTGAAACGGTCCTCAATAACGAGCAATATACATGACTGAATCATCACGTCTTCCTGCTCTAACGCTCCGACAGACGTCTTCAGCGCGTTCCCCATCCTCGCGGTCTTCGTCCCAGCTCCTCCAGTGTGTATGTCGTTTGCTCAGTCGGATCCTGATGCTGGCCTGTGTTGGTTCTGGGTATCTTGGGCGTGGCGAGCTCA